TTTATATTGGAGTAAAATATTGAATGTGTTCTTCACCACAGGGTCCGAGTGGCGAGAGAGGTCCCCTTGGTGAACGTGGTGTGCCTGGGTCGCCAGGACCTTCTGGAGAACCTGGGTTACCTGGAGAGGCTGGTAAAGAAGGACTTCCGGTAAGTCACGTATAGTATATATCGTATGTACATTCATGTTGACAATGTATGCAATTTACGTCGCACTTATTTTCCATAATTTTCACCTGTTTTTCGTGTTTTTTATTCCCAGGGTCCACCAGGACCAGTTGGTCCAGAAGGCAAAATCGGACCACCAGGAATTCAGGGATTTCCAGGAGATAGGGGAATGCCGGGAGCTGAGGTATTGATTTACATAAACCTGCTCGTATAGAAATAACGGAATAACATCAAACAGTTTTCTCCTGATATATCAGTGTGTATTTAATATATATTCAGTTATTCATTAAAACATGTTCTGTTGTTCATGCATAGGGACCAATCGGTTTGAAGGGTGACATGGGACCGTCTGGTCCACCGGGGCCTCAGGTAAAATTAAATTACTTCGTTGTCTACATCTTTACTATCATGTTGTATTAAATGACACTTACGACTAAAATTATACGCTTAAATAGAACGTAATTCTACTATTTTATGTGGCAATTATACTATTTTATATGGTAATCATACTATTTTGTATGGTAATTAAACTATTTTATATGGTAATTATACTATTTTATATGGTAATTATACTATTTTTATGGTAATTATATTATATTATTTTATATGGTAATTATACTATTTTATATGGCAATTCTACTATTTTTATGCCAATTATACTATTTTATATGGCAATTATACTATTTTTATGCCAATTATACTATTTTATATGGCAAATATACTATCTTATATGGCAATTATGCTAATTTTTATGTCAACTTCATAATACAAAATTAACCTATGACCTAATATGATTATTTTCTAATATTATTCGTCTGATTTCAGGGATCATCTGGACCACCTGGCCCACCAGGAGAAGCCGGATCCATAGGCCTACCGGTAATACTCTTATTTAGAGTGTGTTAATTGTGTTGTGCATTTTTATCACAGTACATAATGTTGTGAATTTTCCCTGCATGTTGTCGCATTCGGAACAAACTCGAGGTCAACGTATCTTCATTTCATTGATTTCGTCATGTTTGTTCGTCATTAGTTTGTTGTATATATATATATATATTTATTTATTTATTAATGGAATTTTACGAATTATCTTGTAAGGTTTGTATTGATTATAATAGTATTACTACTTCGCAATTTGCACAGCATACAATATACTGCATTTTTAAACAATGTAAAAATAAGAAATGTTTTCTTCTGTATTACTAGGGTCAACCTGGCCCAGTTGGTTCACCAGGCCCTGCTGGAGACAAAGGCTCTATTGTAAGTACATTTTATTAAAACAATTGTATCTTGTGACCAAATTCGTAAGCACTTTCAATTCAATTTGTTCAAGAATCGAATGCATTTACTTGGAATAATAACAAATGGTGTGTTTGTCTTCAGGGAGACGATGGTCCACCGGGTCCTGCTGGGAGAGATGGTCAACCTGGAATCAGGGTGAGTAACAATACCACTACTTCATATCAGTTAGTTGCCTGATCTGAAAATAATCGACTGAAGTTATTATGAATAATGAGCTCAAGTAAAGTATGTTGACATGTAATGTGTAGGAATTATGTGTAGGGATTCTTAGTGATTGGTTCAATATACTGTAAGTATATATGTTCCTAATTCCTGCAAACAGTTTAGAGTGTTAAGTACAAGCTGGTGGAAATATTCCAGTCATTATAGCGTTATACCATACAGAAAGTTGTATACAATCACGTGTAATATCGAGCTGCCGTGCTTTACCAGTGCTGTCACGACCCGCACCAATACTGTTATTATCATTATAATACGTTCCTATAGATTTCCAAGAAATATAATGTAACCGAAAGTTACGCTAATTGAACATTCCACAGTATACTCTCGCATTTGCAGACTTCTACCCTGATACGATTCATGTAAGGGTCTAAGTTATGACCGCCTCTGATGAAGACATTGCATTGTTATATGGGAATGTATAACTGTATTTTCATTGGTTTATCGTAGGGACTTCCTGGTCCACCTGGCCCTGAGGGGCCACCCGGAGAAGAAGGTGAGACTGGTGAACCTGGTCCGCCAGGAATGAAAGGATCTAAAGGTGCTCGAGGATTATCTGTAAGTGCAGTAATAATTAACACTGGTGAATTTGAATTACAGTTATCCACTAATGAAAAGTACTAAAGAAATATACAGAAACCTATACACTTCTCAACTATGTACGTCGATATATGGGTGCCAAATAAGGGACAGAATATGTGATATCGCTAATGTGTCCTTATCTATTGCTTGTACTGAATTGTGAATGTATATGATTTGTCAATCTTGTTTTGTTTTGGGTCTATTGTAGGGTCCCGAGGGTCCAGCAGGTGAGAGGGGCCCAGAAGGAATGCCAGGACCATCGGTAAGTTGATTTTCATAACACATTTTGGCGATTCAGGTAATACATTTAATTCATTTTCGAACTTGGATTTCCACATTGAACTGTTTTACCACCATTCCAGCTATCAAGCGATTACACAATAGTATTTATTATTACCATCGTTTATGCAGTATTTTACCAAATAATATTAAAGCATTGGAGGACTGTATTGTATATGTGTTATCTCATTCGTAAGATTGTTTTAGTAACATAGTCTCTACTTTTAGGGCGAACCTGGGGAGCCGGGTATTCCCGGACCAGTGGGTCCAGCTGGACAGAAAGGAAGTGATGGATCTCGGGGTGCTCCTGGACCTCAAGGACTTCCCGGACAACAGGTGCAATTCGATAATATTTTCAGTGCAAAAATACATTACATACGTATTTGAGCTTTAATGTGATTGGGATATTTCATCATTATCTGATTATAGCATTATTGGCATTCTATGTGCATTAAGGCTTGACTTATAATTTCCAGTTGACATGTCTGCGTATTTAAATGAATATCACTCATAGTACCTCAATGAATAAACGTTGTTGTCCGCCCATAACACATTATAATTAGACCATATATAATGCATTCCTTTCTGCCTGACCAAGCGTGTGGACTACCACGTTACACGGACTGCACGTAACAAGCGCACAATGCGCAAATATGGATTTTGCCGACAAGAGTAATTGCGTTAAAACATTGACCCGTCAGGTTAATTGTTGTGTAACAGTGTCTAACGTGAAAGCAATTACGGTAAAAATAGTATTTTAATTGTATATTATTATCTTTTACTCAGGGCATGCCAGGGACCCCCGGTTCTAAAGGGGAAATCGGTGATGATGGTCCAAGGGTAAGTTTGCTTCAGATTATTATGCATTCATAGTAGATTATCAAATCTTTTGGAAAGTTTTGTATTTATTAGCCCTAAATGAAAGATTTTTACTGAAAATTACCTTAGCTCGTGTGTGTATAAATCGTGCACCGTAACTGAAGAATTCAAAATGAACAGTATGCTGGCATATTGTACAAAAAGTAAGGATTGATCACCGGAATGACGTGTTAGATTTTGTATACAGTTGTTTATTGTGCGTTCCGTATTGCAAGTTGTAATTAAAGTGTTTTGCTTTCAAGTAATTATATTATTATTTTTATTTAAACAACTTTTTGTTCTATATTGGTATTTTTATCAAAATTAAAACTTTCCAGTCGGTTAATGATAAGCAAATATATTGTAAATCAAATCACCCCGTTTAACCACCCTGAAAAGTATGAATGTATACCATTGTGACTACTGCTCCGAATACCACTGGCACATGCGTCATTGCGACAGTTGGCGCAACAGCGGGCGAAAATGAAAAACGTGACTCTCGCTCCTAGCGAGATTTAGGCGCGTATTTGCGTCAATGGTCTGATTGAGCATACTTAGTCATTAAATATGTCCAGAAAAAACAGTAAATCTAAAGGCATTATCTCATAGTGCAAATATAACATGACCATCATTTTGCAAATTAAGGTAGCAGAATAGTTTTTTGGGCACTTTTCACATTTTCTTTTTTGAAAATCACACGAATAGCTCCCTAAGGCATGCTACATACATGGGTGTATTTATTCTATTGAAAAAAAAATATATTGTACAAGTAAACTGATTTTTTTCTAGTGTGCAAACAAATGGCCAAGTTTTTGTTTATCCAGTGTACACCCAACTAGTGCATCTCATTAATATGCATGGTTTACAAACATAACTGAACTGAGGGTAAATAGTTTTAAGTTGGGCCACTTTCTTTATTTGCTATTTACAAACAACTG